TATATTGATAGATCGCGGTCAATTCAAATTGGTGGTAATCAGATGAACGGTCAAATTTGGCATGTGGGCATGAAAGAGGCTAAAGCTTTTACAGGTAATAATCGTATGAACAGTTTCAGAGTTATTGCCATTGATGGTACGTCAATGAGACCTTATTGAATTTAATGATAATTTAATGAACTGTTTTTGAGGCTTTGCTTTGACTTATAAATATTTTTAAGATCATTTGAAATTCATAATCAAGCTATTAAAGACTTTATCGAATAATTTTTCACCGAAATATCGTGTCTGACTTGACGTTTTTCTCTATTAGCTATATTGTGCAACTCGTGCTCACTCTACAGGCTACAATTTTTTACAGATTCTTTTGATTTTTATTTTGTGTGTCAATGTCATTATGAAGATCATCCCTATTGATTTTCGTGATGATCGGATAATTTTTCACCGAAATATCGTGTCTGACTTGACGTTTTTCTCTATTAGCTATATTGTGCAACTCGTGCTCACTCTACAGGCTACAATTTTTTACAGATTCTTTTGATTTTTATTTTGTGTGTCAATGTCATTATGAAGATGATCCCTATCGATTTTCGTGATAATCGGATAATTTTTCTCCGAAATATCGTGTCTGACTTGACGTTTTACTCTATTAGCTATATTGTGCAACTCGTGCTCACTCTACAGGCTACAATTCTTTACAGATTCTTTTGATTTTTATTTTGTGTGTCAATGTTATTATGAAGATGATCCCTATTGATTTTCGTGATGATCGGATAATTTTTCACCGAAATATCGTGTCTGACTTGACGTTTTACTCTATTAGCTATATTGTGCAACTCGTGCTCACTCTACAGGCTACAATTTTTTACAGATTCTTTTGATTTTTATTTTGTATGTCTATGTCGTTATGAAGATGATCCCTATTGATTTTCATGATGATCTATCGATTTTCATGATGATCGGATAATTTTTCACCGAAATATCGTGTCTGACCTGACGTTTTACTCTATTAGCTATATTGTGCAACTCGTGCTCACTCTACAGGCTACAATTGTTTACAGATTCTTTTGATTTTTATTTTGTATGTCAATGTCATTATGAAGATGATCCCTATCGTTTTTCGCGATGATTGGATAATATTTCACCGAAATATCGTGTCTGACTTGACGTTTCACTCTATTAGCTATATTGTGCAACTCGTGCTCACTCTACAGGCTACAATTGTTTACAAATTCTTTTGATTTTTATTTTGTATGTCAATGTCATTATGAAGATGATCCCTATCGTTTTTCGTGATGATCGGATAATATTTCACCGAAATATCGTGTCTGACTTGACGTTTCACTCTATTAGCTATATTGTGCAACCCTGTAGTCACTAATGACTGTTTAATTATTTCTGACAGCTGCCAGTGGGCGTATGTTACCTTGCCTGGCAAGCTATCTTATATTTTGATATTCAAACGTATGATGTATTTATGAGCGACATTGAGTGTTGAGTTGAATATACACAAATTGGTTGGGAAAAAGATGACACAGAGGCTTAAATGGTCCAAAAACAATATTTGTATACTTTTCTTGCCAGTGGCTCCAATTGGTTTAAGGAAATTAAGAGTTAGCTAGGGTTGAAGCATTGTATATTTTACACAGCCCTTTTTTAACATAAAATGATATAAAAAGACAGTGTTTGACTTGAATTTTAAAAAAATTTCTATCTGGGACTAGAACCCAGGACCTCAAATTTGTTGAGCAGTTCAACACCAGTGTGAAGGTGAAGCCTCTGATCAGTTGAACAGTATTTTCCTTTTAAAACACAGGACCACAGGAACGTGATATGTTATTGATGCATCATGATGTACAGATACAATGGCCTGATCTAACACGAGAACGTAGACAGTATAACCTGGTTAATTATGGTGATGTCAATGGGTATTCTGCCATGGCTAAGACTGTTGGAGTACCTACTGCTATAGCAACCAAAATGGTTTTAGATGGTAAGATTTCAGTAGTTTTCCAGGTTATTTCGTGTCAGAATGAAAGCCTGACTTTAGGTTCACTCAAATTTTAAATACCAAAGTACTAACAATATAGACTGCCCAATGAAACCGAAATCAAAAATAAAAGTTTGGCAATATATTGGTAGCAGCTAGTTGATTTTTCATATTAGAAAGTACATGTATATCAATCATAACTCACATTTTTTTCCTGCATTGGGCAATAATAAAGATCACTCTGTTGTGAGGTCATGGTGGTGGTAGCATACTTACAATAAGTCTATTATTTATTTGAACACCATCAAATAATAATCGTTTTAATATTTGTATAACTGGAGAACTCGAACAGGTTTGAATCAAAAGAGTGATTTTGACTTGCAATTATTCTTTGGTGTTTTCAGGAGAAATTCAGATCACAGGTATCGTGAGACCTTTCACCCTGGACATTTACCAACCAATGTTATCAAGACTTAAACAGGAAGGAATCTATGCCATTCAGAATACTGCCTGGTTACCTGGAATACAAACACGGTGAAAAAATCACTGAAGTAATTGGTTGGAGGATGCCTATTATCTGTTTGTAATTTATATTTTATTGTAATAGAATGGCATGGTTTTGTATTTTCATTTGTAATATATATTTGTATTCAATTAACTTCACATGAGTATTAATGACCAATTTGGACCCTGAATTTGTCAGCAGTGTTATGATTTTATTTAATTGTGCTGACATGTAGTTTAGCTGTTTAAGATTCAAATATTACTGTCTGACAACATTGTCTTTGTTTTTTCTCATGTATTTCAAAAATGTTCTCAAAAAAAATTTCGAATGCCTATCATTTGTTTTTGACTGGCCATGAGTCCATAGAAATATAATGTTTGGTGATTTTACATTTGAAGAACATACTTTACTCCAAGAATCACAATGATTGGGAAAATGTAATTTTGAAAAGAGTGTGCATGGATAATTGAATAAGTAAAATGAAGAATGAGTATTTATCTGCAAATATGTGTTGTACCAAATAATCATATACTAAATTACTTAATTTACTTTATAGTCATTGTAATGAAGTACTGTGTGTCAATTTTAGCAAATTATTTTTTTAGACCAATAATTCATTGAGATCCAAATGTTGTGTTTTTGATGTTATACAATAATAGTTTTGAATACCAAATTTTTTCGTTCAAGTGTATATACAACTATTTTTAATCTCCCTGGCCTTATGGTTTTCAAGTATTACTTAACTAAATTATTTGTTACTTGTTACAGGGTATGTATATTTATTTTTTATTGGTATATTATATTCTTATATATTGAAAAATAATTATTATTCCATCCGATTGGCAGAAAGTGTTTTCCATGTCAGCCTCTTCGACCAGAAAGCCGGGTTAAAATATTTGATGATATTAACTAAACCCATTCCATGATGGCAGGTTAGCAGGCAAGCATCTAACTCACTGAGCCTTCCATCCCTTATTTAAGTAAATTCAGTAGATTCACGGGCAATTGTCCATGATAATATATTCCGTGACCAGTGAAAAGGGTGTGGATATTGAGCTTTCCTAATTATCGGCAACTGGTTTAACGGGTCTCCACTGTATTTGCAGCTTGATATTTTAATTAAATATAGTGATAGTGTGATCTTCATTGCACATATTATAATGAATTTTAAATACTTTCAACAATAATTATGCTGGTAGGCCTACAACAATAACCTTTAACATTTGTACAAGAAGTTATTCCATCAACACTTATTATGGCTGACCTCCAATCAACATCTCTCCAACAGACCCCGACCTGCAATTCTATTCATTGGCTATCAAACAAAATTAAGAAGATCGTAAAGAATTCAGTTGGTATTGAAACAGTGTTTCCTGGCGATACAACGCCTTATGATAGCCAATGGTAAATTGAATCCCTCAGAAAAACAAAATCCAATAGGATGGGTCTACCAAATTCCAGATCTCTTGATGTACAACTCAAAGACCATCAAGTCAGGCCCAGAACTGAAGGATCATCTTTTGTACTGAACGCCATGCTTTGGGAAGAAAAACAGGACATCAACACCAGCATACTGACTATTATTCCGAAACATCTGCCTCTATTCCATCCTCTGATGTATATTTTGTCAGTGTTGTCAGCTGGAGTCAGATGGAAAAGACCCTGTTAAATGGGGATTTTCGACTCCTCCAAAGATGCGTGTTCTCTAACATAATATTGAATTAACTTTAAGATGATTTTAGATTGAATGCCTTATTAAAAATGAGGTGCTGAAAAATTACAATCGAATCGAAAAAATCCCTTTCTCAAGCCTTTTACGCCTTACTCTTATTGAAAATGAAAAATTACACTAAAATGGAAAGTATAGTTGGCTCTCATTTATATACAATACTCATTCACAACCAAATTTAAACACATATTTCAGTAGTCTGATCTATCAGAAAATTCAATGCCCACATAGCAAAGATGGAAAAAAAACTAAACAAACTGAGAAGTTATCAAAGCAAATGACAACTTTTCTGAAACATATCTGAATGAAATACCAAATCCAAAACATAGAATTACAATGACAAAATTTAGAATTGGAGGTCAAACTCGAAATAGAAATGGGACGTTATTACAAGAAAGGCATTGCGAGGCAAGGTAACTTACACGCCCACTGGCAGCTATCAGAAATGATAAAACCGTCTATAGTGACTAAAGTACGAATTTTCTCATATTGAAGAAATTTTATTAGTTTGAATTCAATTACATATATATATGCCAGTTATTTATGCTGAGTAATTCCACAAAATGTTTTAAAATCAATATCAATAACCCAAATACAACAAACAATTAAATCACACAGCTCTAATCACGAGCAAAAAAACAACTGTTGACGCTTTTTTACAAAGTCAAGGGCAATAACTCAAAAACCGTTATTCGAAAATGCGTCAAGTTAGAACTTGTCCGAGATCTTATTCCAATGATCACACCAAGTTTCATCAGAATCGGTTGAAAACTGTATCTTCTATTGTGCTCACGAACAAATTTTGACGCGTTTTAACAAAGTCCAGGGCAATATCTCAAAAACCGTTCTTCGAAAATATGTCAAATTCGAACTTGACCGAGATCTTATCGATCTAAAGCATCACACCAAATTTTATAAAAATTAGATGAAAACTGCAGTCTCTATAGTGCTCACAAGAAATGTTAACGGACGGACCGACGGACAGGGGCGACAGCAATTTACGACCACATAATATTCATATGTGGGCGTATAAAAATGATAGAAAATTGCAATTCCTAATGAAAAATGAAAACCCAGTAGGCCTAATATTAAAAAACGCTAAGCAGCTTCATCTTTCACGCATTCAACTATGGATGTCCCAGAAACTAAAAGATGTTATATGTTATAATATTAAGTTTTGTATTAAGATATCAATTGTTCTGTCTCATTATGTATATCCAACCCGGTTTCCTCCTGTCAGTGATGCAGGTAAGAGGATTGACATGGAAAAAGCGTCTATAGTCGTTCGGATGAGACAATAAACAGAGGCCCCGTGTGCTACAGGTTGTGCACCTTAAAGATCGAAAATGGTAAAATTTCCCTCATCGCACCCTGCATGGCGTTGCCCGTCTTCATTAGCCCACACTTTTTTTTTGTATTATGCTCATTTATATTTTTCATGTATTGTAATAGTTTTTTATTTTTTGCAACTGATGTATTTTGTCATCATTCACATTATTTGGTGATGTGTTAGTTTTTGTTTTTTTGTATTGCTTTGCACTTGTGGTATGATTAATATTTTATGCAGTAAAATTAGTATTACTAAGATCAAAATTGTACCCCGATATAGGTGACGCATTTAGCAGCCATTGTCGAGTTTGTTACTCCTGAAATTATGGCGCTGTATTTGGTTCAAAATAGGATCCAGATCTGATTGTATAAATTCTTAAAATCGCGTGGTCATTTCTAAGATTGCAGTCAAGGTATGAAATAAATAAACCACGCTTTCAGACTCACCTTTTTTTATACGCCCACATGGAAATGTGTAATAAATAATAAAACTTGACATCAAATACCATCCTTTAAAATGGAAAATGGAAATGTGGACGTATATTGCCGTCGCCCTTGTCCGTCTATCCGTTCACATTAGGCGCGATATATAGAGTCTACAGTTTTTATCCGATCTTGATGAAACTTGATATGAAATATTGATGAGATTTCGTTCAAGTTCGAAATTGGTAATAATCGGAAGAACGGTTTTACAGTTCTTGCCCTTGACTTAGTAAAAACGCGTCAAATTTGGCTTGTAGGCACGATAGAGACTACAGTTTTTATCTGATCTTGATGGAACTTGGTATGCATGTGTATATTGATGAGATCTCACTTGAGTTCGTAATTGGTAACAATCAGATGAAGGGTTGCGGAGTTATTGACTTGTAAAACAAGTAAAAACTTGTCAAATTTGGCTTGCAGGTACGATAGAGACTACAGTTTTTATCCAATCTTGATGAAGCTAAATATGCATGATGAGATCTTGGTCAAGTTAGAAAATGGTAATAATCGGATGAACAGTTTCCGAGTAATTGCCCTTGTGTGTACAGCGATGAGACATTGTTTAAATTTGATTGTTTGAACTTATATTTATTAAAAATAAAAATTATCAATTCATAGACGGCATCATTATAAATTAGCACAGTATACACGAAAAATAAAGAAAAAAAATTGTGATGTGACCAAATAAAGGCTTTTAAAAGTATTCCTTTTTTAATGTAAAATGTTTTGATTCCCGAATTTGTGCACGACCTTTGGCGCAATTTAGATCCGATTTTTTTGTCTTTTCTGACCCAATTCGGACAGTTCGGGAATTCAGAATTTTACACACACCGACAAAAATGTGTCAAATTACACTTATTTCCTAAAGTTTCACAAGTTTGATATGGAAATTGTATTAGCGCATAACAAAAATGTGGCATGTGTAGTTTTGGCTGGGTACTCGGGGATTGGGTAGAAAAAATTATTCGTTATGTTTATAATATAAATTTTATGCTAGGATCATTCAAAGATGAGTTTTCATATGAATAGCCAAGTTAGTTTTCTTGGTAAATGCTTCATCACAGACATTACATGGATAAGGTTTCTCTCCAGTGTGGGACTGTATGTGTGGAGTCAAATGACTTTTAGACGAAAATGATTTATCACATAAGTCACATTTGAAGGGTTTCTCTCCAGTATGAGTCCTCATGTGATATGTGAAATGACTTTTTTGATAAAAAGTTTTGTTACAAATCTCACATTTAAGAAGTTTTTCTCCAGTATGTGTTCTGACATGTCTTGTCAATTCACTTTTTGTAGTAAATGATTTACTACAGAGAACACATTGATATGGTCTGTCTCCAGAATGTGTCCGGATATGAATTGTAACGTCATATTTTCTATTAAATGACCTATCACACACACCACATGTATAAGGCTTTTCCCCAGTATGTTTCTTTGTATGTATAGTTAACCCAGTCTTGGAAGCATATGATTTATCACAAACATCACATTTAAAAGTTTTCTCTCCAAAATGTGTCTTAACATGACTTGAATGAGTACTTCTCTGAGCAAACGTTTTATTACATAGAACACACAGATAGGGTCTATCCCCAGTATGTGTCCTTTTGTGTCTAGTCAAATCACCATTAGTCCTAAATGATTTATTACAAACATAACATTCATAAGGTTTCTCCCCAGTATGTGTTCTGATATGACGCAAAAGATGACCTTTGTGAGGAAATGATTTACTACAGAAGTCACACTTATACGGATTTTCTCCAGTGTGAATCCATTGATGTGTTGTCAGATCACAATTTCTTATAAATGCCTTACCACAAAAATGACATCTGTAAGGTCTCTCTCCAGTATGTATTCTCATATGTCTTTGTAATTCAGAATTAACTGGATATGATTTACTACAGATGTCACATTTATAAGGTTTCTCTCCACTATGTACCCACATATGTCTAGTTAATACACCACTTGTAATAAATGATTTACCACAAATGTCACATTCTAAAGGTTTTTCTCCAATATTCCTCATTTGATGTTTAGGAACATGTCTCATCAGCTTGCTATAAGAGAAGATTTTCCCACAAACTCCACATGGAGCAGAGATACAATTCAAAATAGGCATCATTTTGTTAAGCAAAAAGACCTTCAGACCATGAAGTTTAATGCTTATCCTTTCCAGTCTCCCTTTCACAATAAAGGACAGGAGAAAAACCCAATTTTTCTCACTGCACACAATAAAACATACTGTTTGCAGTTGACTGAGCAGTGAGCATCCATATTAAACCAAATCTGTTCATAAACGTTTCTCAAATTCTCAAAAAATCTTATTATGTCTTTCTGAAATAAAATAATGCAAGCAATTAAAATCAAGATTGAAATCCCTTAAGCATTGGAGGAACTTTTACAAGAATTTCTTAACAAAAAAGGCATTCATGCAATTCATTTTATGTGAAGTTTCAATTGGTATCTTCTGGTCCTGTCTGGTTATTAGACGCACCCCTGTTCCAGAACTAATGCACGTTATATAGATCTGGTGTTGTTTTTACACAATATATGAATAATAATAGGCCCTATATAGCAGAATATAAATTTACTTCAATGTTTTGTTGCTTGGATTTGGTCACTGATAACGACCATGACAATAGGGCACTGAACAACTGGTTCTGAATACCTGGACAAAAAAAGGTTGTCGAATACCGCCATACTATTCTTAATCTAACCATAGAACTGTATAAGCCTACTGACGTCAAGGTCAAGTCAAATCGGTATGCGGTCAAATCGACCAGTCAAAACAAGCTATTTCATGGCATTACAAATGAGTTGGTCAGCACAATGGTTTTTTTTTATATAGAGCTTCAAAGTTCCGAGGTGCTAAAATGACAGCCGAATCCAATTTAATGTCCATTAATGGGTTGCAGAGAAACAAAGTTAAGAAATGTTTGATACTGATTTATTATCACAAAATATCAGTTTCAAGTGGTATAAGGTTTTAAAAGAGAAACACTCTTATAGAAGCACTGGCCAAGTAGGGACTGTGGATTTCAGCATTGGAATACATCAATTCGAAAGAAAATTACCTACTTCTGGAGAGTTTTACAAGATAAACAAATAATTCAGAAATGCAAAGCTATTGTTTCAGGTAGTTAATGAAAGGGGGTCTAATCTACCATGGACAAGAACATTTGGCCTACTCAGATTTTTATTCCTTTTATAAGCAGTCACCAAACGTTTAGGATAGAGATGTTAGGCCATTGGGTACAAAAGTTTGTAATTGGTCTATCCAGAAACTCTCCCTTTTGGTTTTTGGATTGATCGTTGTAAATACAGAAACCTTTTCTATGGGCATAACAAGATCTTAAATGGAATGATTGGTTGGATTAAAATGATTCGCGATTGAAGAATGAAGAATGTCAAAGCAATGACCGCTTAGAGGAGTATGCAACGCGTTTTGGGTTTCGCCAACATATTGTACATCTAACAAAAAGCACAAGGAGAACATTATGGTATAACTCACTTCTTTAATAACAAAGCACATAACGTTTCAACACAAATGATGTATAAAGGCCAATGGCTAACAATAAAGGTGTTTAATATGACACAAAATGTTTTTAAATTCTATTTATTACCAGTATGTATACTAACTTTTTGATAATTCACTACCCCCTACAAATGGTTTACTAACCATATCAGATTTTAGGGCTTTTCTACAGAATGTATTCGAACATGTCTAGATAAAGCATTACTTCCTGCAAATGATTTACTACAAATGTCGCATTTGTAAGGTTTCTCTCCAGTGTGAGTTCTGATGTGTTTCTTTAAATCACTTTTTTTAACAAATGATTTGCTACAAAACTCACAAGATGAAAGTTTTTCACCTGTGTGCATTCTTACATGTAATGTCAAAGACCACTTTCTAGCAAATGATTTACCACAATATTGACATTGAAAAGGTTTCTCTCCAGTGTGTAATCTAGCATGGTTATTTAACTCACTGGTTGTGCCAAATGACTTACTACAAACATCACAAGTATGGGGTTTCTCTCCTGTATGAATTCTTTCATGTATTGTAAGGTAACAACTCTGGGAAAAAGCTTTGTGACAAAAATTGCAACTATATGGTTTCTCCCCAGTGTGTGTTCTCATATGTTTCTTCAAATCAGTATCGGCTACATAAGAATTATTGCAAAATTCGCATACATAGGGTCTCTCTCCAGTATGTAACCTTATATGACTTTTCAAGTAACCTCTAGTTGAAAATGACTTATTACAAAAATCACAATTAAATGGTTTCTCTCCAGTGTGCGTGCGAATGTGTCTAACTAGGTTGCGATTAGATGTAAACGCACTGTTACAAACATCACATTTATAAGGTTTCTCTCCAGTATGTGATCTGATGTGCATCGTTAAAACAGCTTTAACAGCAAATAACTTGTCACAAAAACCACATTTATAGGTTTTATCTTCATGAACACTAAAATGTTTACTCAGGTGAAAATCTGTAGAAAATGACTTATTACAAACTACACAGATGTGAGGGCTATCTCCATTATGAATCCTGTTATGCTTAGTCAAGTAATGGTACGTTGAAAAAGTTTTTTCACAAAAATCACATTTAAAAGGCTTTTCTTTAATAAGACGCCTTTTATGTATAGCAACATGTTTTAAGAGAAGGTTACGAGTAATTGTTTTTCCACACACTCCACAAGGTAGATCTGGACTCTTATTGGACAACATTTCTTATTATTCACTGATTTTCTCTACAACTGTATTTTCTTCTAGGAAGTTGCTTGTTGAAGTGGTCAATTCTGTGGTTGAAGTGGACAATTATGTAACTGCATTGAGGCTGAATTGTGAAATAAAGTAATCAATGGTAAGCTGGCCTATAGAACAATTTCTAACGGGTCTTTTGTGTGGATTAGATCCGACAACAATGGACGCTGGAAAGTATAAAAAAGGTGACAAATAAACAAGCTACCAAGAGTCAAAGATGAAAACGACGACTACAACTCCTTCCATGTACAACTACAGTTAATGTAGAAGTTGTAACTGAGTAAGGTTTACTATAAGCCGCTCATTCTCTAATGAATGCTGATCATGATCCAAAATTCAAAAAATCTCACATCGATGGAGCAAGTTATGAAAGAAAATAGTTATAATTGATTTGCTGTTGGTGTTGCATCTTTTCTCCTTCTGCTAAGGTGAAGGTCGTCGGGGAATCCAATCGACCAGTCAAACAATACTGGTCAGTTTGGACAATGACGGTCTATATATATAATGCCCTTAATGTATCAAGAGTCTAGATAAATGGTAAGGTGTATTATTTCTTTGACAAACAAAATACACAAATCAATTTTATCAAGATATGTTCGTTTTTAAAGTATACTATAACTAATTGAATGGGACTGGATGATAGAGACTATATATAAGGTTGATTAACATTTCCGGTTTCTTCACGTTTTCCAAGTTAATTTCTTGAATTAGACATTTCCTTTGCAATTGAAGACTAAGATCACATAGAGTTGCAAAGGAACAAACACATAAAGCGAAAATGTTGCGAACATGGCGTCATGTGCCATTCTACATCCCCAAACGTGCAAAAACATCATCAAGTCATGGAAGTATGAATATTGCTAAACCGAAAGTAGAAAAAATCTTTTCTGGATTGTGTGATGCTGACTACCAAAGTTACTCTAATGGCGTGAAAAGTAATGATAATTTATCCAAACTGTCTTCAGGTCCCTCCTTAAAGGACTTTATTATCCAGAAATCAGAAATTCCATTGAATCATGAGTATGACCGAAATTATTTTGAATTTGAAAACTTGGAAAAAACAAAACGAAAGGTTTTCATTGAAACCTATGGCTGTCAAATGAATTTCAGTGACACTGAAGTTGCCATGTCAATATTGCTAGATAATGGATTCTTGAAAACAAATTCTGTAAAAGATGCTGATGTAATATTAGTCATGACATGCTCAATAAGAGAATCAGCAGAAGATAAAATATGGAAGCGGCTGAAATATTATCAGTCCATCAAACAAAACAGACATCCATCAAAACTGCCCTTAAAAATTGGAATTCTTGGATGTATGGCAGAGAGATTGAAGACTAAAATTTTAGAAAGAGAAAAAATAGTAGATCTTGTATGTGGGCCAGATGCTTATAGAGATCTTCCTAGATTGTTAGCTATCACTGAATCAAATCAATCTGCTGCAAATGTTCAATTGTCTTTGGAGGAGACGTATTCAGATATATCACCAGTCAGGATTAATCCTTCTTCTAAATCAGCTTTTGTGTCTATAATGAGGGGATGTGATAATATGTGTGCGTATTGTATAGTGCCCTTTACACGAGGCCGTGAAAGAAGTCGTCCAATTTCTTCAATCCGTTCAGAAATTTCAAAATTAGCAGAACAGGGTGTGAAAGAAGTTGTTTTGTTGGGACAAAATGTCAATAGCTATCGTGACACATCAGAAAGAGTTTTTCCAGGACAGCAGACAACTTTAAGCAATGGTTTTAAAACAGTGTACAAAACTAAACAAGGAGGATTAAGATTCTCGGATCTATTGGATAAAGTTTCCTTAGATAATCCAGAAATAAGATTTAGATTTACATCTCCTCATCCCAAGGATTTCCCAGATGAAGTTTTATACTTGATCAAAGAAAGAGCCAATATTGGTACCAATATCCATCTACCAGCCCAAAGTGGAAACAATGCAGTGCTGGAGAACATGAGAAGAGGCTATACACGGGAAGCATATCTTAAATTAGTTGATCACATTCGCTCCATTATTCCTGATGTAGCTCTAACCAGTGATTTTATCGCAGGGTTTTGTGGGGAAACAGAGGAGGCTCATTTAGACACTATATCTCTATTGAAATTAGCCAAATATGAATATTGTTTCAGTTTTATGTACAGTATGAGGGAAAAGACCCAAGCATTTCATCGCCTTGTGGATGATGTGCCTTTAGACATAAAGAAGAGGAGACTTGATGAAATCGTCTATACTTTCAGAGAACTGGTTTTGGAACGCCATAAAAATCAAATCGGACAAGAACAATTAGTTCTAGTGGAAGGAATAAGTAAGAGATCGGAAAGTGATTTATATGGACGAAATGACAGAAACACAAAAGTTATATTTCCGAATGTTGAGGTTGAAAATAATGGAACACTCCAGCCCATACAGCCAGGGGACTACATTGTTGTAAAAATTAACAATTGTTCGTCTCAAGTGTTAAAAGGGAATGCATTAACTCATTCCTCAATAACAGAATTTACTTATTATCAAGTATTAAAACAAGGTTTTGAATCAACAGAGATATTAAAATTTCAATAGCTATTTACGGTACTCATATCTTCTTATTCTGGTTGGACATTTTCAGTTTCAATTTTTCAGTTTTTAATAAAGCCTGTAGTATTTTTCTCATTTTTGTAAGCAGAGTAGAGTCCTAGTCCTATGAACAATGCTTGTTTGAAACATATTTTTTTAAAAGCTTCACGATAATGGACTTGTTCCTTGTTTTATTGTCTACCTTACTTCAACAAATATGCACCTGGACCATTGGAAATTTGTATTTACGGCAAAACAAAACATTAACAAAATATTCATTTAATCAAAATCTATCATTCAAAAAATACATTATCAACAAGCAGTCTTCAGAACTTTTTGAGGAGGTTCCATACAAGAATTGCTTGAGTTTAAAAATGATGAATTATCTATAGAACTGCTAGTTTGAGTTTCATCCGTTCGATCACAATTGACATCACAAAAGTCGGGAATGGGATTGGAATCATTAAAGCTTGTGTTTAGACATTTGATATCATTTTTGACATCGGCAAGATTCAGATTAGTTTGAGCTAAGTCATTCTGAGATTCTTCTTTAATATCAGGTTTTATGATAGTGTTTGACTCTTGTTTCAACTCAGCAGTATTTGGCTTCACCCCTGAAGTTTCAATTTTCACAGTTGATTTCACAAGAGCTTCAATTTTAATATTGTCACTGCCAGGTTTCAATACTTCTTCAACCACAATTTTGGGTCCCTTTTTCTCTGATTTTAAAGTATGTACAGATTCTAAATTTACAGTAGGACTTGTAAATTCTGGAATTTTAACATTTAATTTTTCACACAGACCACAAATTATCTGATCCACATAGCTATTGATTTTTAAATCACATTTTTTATCATGTTTTGTAGTTTGTAGGTTCACAATTATCAGTTTTCCGCCATTTTTTTTTGCTGCCAGAGGAAGATTACCACATGGAATGATCTGAAGTGAGGTTCCTAAACATAAACTTAAGTCAGCTTTCCTGAATTATAAAAAATCATTTCATCAATAATTCCTTAAAGAAATGCACTGGTCGTGGCTATAGCAATTTTCTTACCTTGAGAAAGATTCTATCCATGGCACCTAATCGATGACAATCCAACCTGCTACCATATACTGATATATTTCACAATTTCATAGAAAAGGAGATAAACTGATAACCTAAATGGCCATAATTTGATACCTTAAACATTCATGTCAGTTCCAATCACTATCCTGTTAATTTTTGCAACCAATTATCCTACCTTGAAATAAAGATGCTTTTTAGTGTGTGATTCTAATTGCATGTCACAGGTGTAGAAGTTTGAGACAGACCGTTTATTGTCACCTAAAATGATGTTGACCTACTAAAGAGAAACATGACATGCAACTTCTATGGGTTAAAGTAGACAGACATACCCTGAATGATAATCGGCAAGATTTAAATCATGATCTGGTAAAGAGTCTTCCCAGTCTAATATCGCATCATGCAAACGCCCCCTGAAATAGACAAATAAAAAACATAGAATATTTATATGTATAGAATATTTTTTTAGAAAACTAAAGTATCTGGTTGCACAAGCCTAACTCGTTGATCCATCAGGTCCATTTTCTTGATCTTTCTAGATTTGATTGGAAGATGATTTAGATTCATTGAACCAAAGGATTGTTTTAACTAAAATGAAGACCAGAATCTGCTAGATGAAAATTTGGATGGGGAAAAGGCTCTTTCACATTTGCAAACACTTGTTTTTGCATCCTACTGTTCTTGTGTCCAAAAAACAGCAATTCATTTTTTATTTCTATCATACTAAACAGTTAAAGGGATTGTAAAGACGTTTTCTTTTTATGTGTATCAGGGACACATTTGACTAGTATTTGGGACATTGCAATTCTTCATCTGATGCTTGTGGTTCCTGAAATGCCAGAAAGAGTTAACTGGCAGCTCCCGCAAGAGAATTTGTAACCAGCCTAACACCAGACCACAATAACATAATAGGTATCTCCCCTTACAAGATGGCTTTGCAGGAACCATGGGCATCGGACAAAAAATTGGAATGTCCCAAATAGAAGTTAAAAGTGTTTCCCGATACACCTGTCTTTCACAAACAGATAAACAGCTATTGACAGAACTTCAAGGGACTGCGTTGATACATATAAAAAGGCTAGAAAACCTGTTTATAGTAAACAATTCCAGACTTACCTACAAATTCCTCTTGGCTTTTGTTGAGTACATAAATTACCGGTTAACTTCAATCCCATAGTTGGGCTGCAGTGACTGTTAATGTACTGTTATGATGAGAGAAAGTCAGAAAGAAATGATAGTAAATTTATTCATTTTTTTTAAATGGAACATTACCTTATACTCTAATACATTTTTCTGATTCTTAGAAGAATATTTTCATACAACTATCGATTCTGATAGATTCAATTTTTGTTCTATAAAATTTCCTGTGGCACATGTAATTTAAAGAGTGTTATTGCAAAAAAATTATTAGATGTATCACAGGAAATTTGAATGATAAAAATTATTCAAATATTAGTTAAACCAAACTGACAATATAATACTGTATTAAATGCAAGGGGAAACTCGATTAACCCCTGATCAATAACTTGAGAATAATAATTACCTTTGTATGACATTTATCACAGGTTTCAATAAACATGTTACCATGAGGCTCTGATAATCTATTTATAGGTAATCCTGATCTGACATGTAAACCATCTACATTCTGACTGATCACATACTTCACAATGCCTATTAATAACAGTATATATAGTGAATATTGATATTAAATAACAGGCTTAATGCCGGAGGCAGAGGGGAGTATTTTATCGGGTGATTGCAGTCAAGTCGACGACAATTTTTTCCGCCCGTATGGATTGCCTAAATAAAAATTTTGTTGGGCGATTGATATTTCTTTCACCAATCGGGCTTGATTCTGATATTATGTGACGTTCAGAGTGCCCCTTCATGATCTCGTGTAAATATTCGCTAGCGATTTTAAGAGTCATGACCGGTCAAACACATACGCTTGTCTGCTCCTTACGGTGGTTCGCATACGACATATTTCACTTTTAATTTTGAATTAAAAACATTAATTTTCACGGTGATAATTCCTGTAATTCTGAATATAGGTGATAATTCCTGTAATTCTGAATTAAAAACTTTAATTATCACCTAGGTTTAATTATGAAAATAATTATCAGACATCAGTTTACCTAATGGATCATAAGTCTTCATAACCATTTAATGTTACTAACTGTGTAAATTGTTTAAGCTGGTGATTGCAGGCAAGTTTTACATGTTTTAAGCTGTAGTGGTAAGATATAGAACATTGTTATATCTTATATCATAATCAAATTGCAAGAACACAAACCTAATTTTTCTAATTCAATCAGGGCCATATGTGTTTTGGTAGGTTGAGCAGATTCAAATGTTATATTAATTTGTGGAGTTTCTCCTTTTTCCTCTAGAGTCCAAACACCTGAAATGATCAAACTTTTAAGTCAATATCGATAAACAATAGATCACATATTGCTATTCATGATTATTACAAAAAGGATACACTAGTCTTAATATTTGCTTTACTAGCTGATAGAGTCAATTTCTGTTATCAATAACACATAAAGTTACACTACAACTCAAACGTAAATTTATGGCTTAAATTCCCAACAAAACGTATTCAAAACATTAAACGATGTTGACTCTTAATGTCTTCTAGAAACTGTCTATCATAAGAATACTTGAATGATCCCTATATTAAATACCTTTGATGAACACTAGGAAATAGGATTTAGTCACAATTAAATTGACACACACCATCCCTTGTTATACAGCCCCTAATTAAATATCTTTGGGTCAATCATAATATTTCAGATGATCATGATCGCTCATGTGAAAAGTTCATTCGCTGCTAATGTTTGGCCAAACTGTTGTTTTGGATTTTGCTGTTCAGATCGCTAGTACAGTACCGGTACTTGGTTTACTTAAGATCAATAATTTAAATACCGTTCGGTCCTCTGAAATCAGGAATTCCAGCAGATGTACTGATTCCAGCTCCAGTGTGAACAACAAGATGTTTACTAGCTTTCACCATCTCAGCTAGCTCAACAATCTTTCTCTGAACAGTTTCTTCATCATCAAAATATTCTGGTTGACCACACTTCCCTTTATTATCATAATCTGACAACCCTGTTGCATAGTTTACAGACATGTTGCCATATAACTTATTGGCTGTAAAAATACAAATATAATTCTTAAAATAGCGCAGTGTTATATTAAGGACTGGGATATTTAATGACTGATTCAGATTGATTGAATCAAGCCATTCCAGGAGGCATGGAATTTTTAAAATTTCAAATCACTAAAAAGTGTCTGATTCCGAGGGATACAATCAAGCTGGCGGTAGTTTCCGGTGTAATGATTAATTTTTCCATTACTTTACCTGGATCGCAGAATGTGAGAAAGTTACAAATTTTCCTTATTTGTAAACAAAGAAATTCTACTTTCAGTTTACCACTAAGGGGAGATAAATTCAATTTGGCTGTGTTCGACTATCCATGCCTTGTGGTCTTTTATTGCCTTTTGCTGCTTATTTAGTATTATCTATTTCATAATCAAATGCTTTATTCGTAGTCTGGTTGGCTTTGTATTTGATTAACATTCTGTAAGAAATACCATTCTAGAGAAAACCCTTCAGAACACATTTACTATGTTGTATGAAGCGAACACAGTCCAAAGGAATGGCCACAACTGAAAATAACATTTCATAAACCATTATTTTGTCATTCTGTTTTCTAACCCAAGCTTTGAAACAGAATGTCTACGCTATCTTCGAATAATATTTACTACTCTACACTGGGTAAAAGTGTTTACATATTTTCGAGATATGTTTAGGCTGGGAAGCCTTTAAAGAGATAGACCTATATTGTCTTTGGACAGGATATTGTGCTTCTCTTAGTTTACCAGCTTAAATTTAGACTTATAACAAAAAATTTGATTGTCGATGTCGCCTAATATTTTTATATAGGGCACAGTTGTCAGATGCCTATATATGATCACATTACCACCATATTATGAATCTAATAATGTTTAAATTTTGTAGGCAGACATCTGAAACATGAGCTGAGTGGTGTTGAATTCAAGTTGTCTGATAAAATCCAACTCAGAGGGAATTTCAAGGTAAACAAGATGCAACCACCAATTCTTTGAATTATGTGGATTTGAATTACGACTCTACCTTATGATATGTATGTTTTGAAGTGATCAATTCAATTTCATTTACTCTGATGTCAATTGTTTTTCAGGAACTGAATAAGCTGGTATTTAAATCTACCAATGGTACTGATAAATATAAAGTATGTCTATTTTGATTTGATATAGTTCATTTATTCTAAGGCCCTTCTCTAAACTGAAAAGCCTTCATTTTAATTTTTTCAAAGAAATTTCTGTCTCAAAAAAACCTGAAATTAATATTCATAAGACATACTAAAATTTCGTTATTTTAGTAGAAATATATGATCGTTGTAACTGTATCGGGTGATAAGATCACATTTTAGAGCTATGATCAGGGAACTGGACTCTTATCAGCTCTGGATTGATTCTATCTGATCAAAGGGCTTACTTAACAGACTGGGGTCCAACAATAGAAGATTTCATATTCTGTCCTACCAGCATGTGATGAGCTCTTGTCAAGTCAAATATTTCTTGTCTAATAAGGATTTTTTATTTTCAGTACAGCTTTGATCTTGAGAAGTCAGTGATTGATGATTTTAATGTTCATGAAATCAGTAAATTATCAGTGAAACAGAGATGAAAGATAGAGGAATTTTCCCAGACTGGTGCCAAGTATTAAATGTTGTGATGCTTTCAAACTGAAAGACTTTTATTCCACTTTAATAATTCCTTATTGTTTTTTACGCATTTTGTATGGCGCTTTAATTTCTATGTTATTTATTTGAAATATATATTTGGCTGTTTTTACATTTGCAAAATTAACTAATTAGTGCTTTATTTTGAATAGATTTTTTGTTGTGATATTTGTTAAAATTCTGTCTCATTAAGACTAAAAATTGCAGCTGATTCTTTTTGAGATACAGGCAAAGACAACTAGATATACAGTCATAAGTTTTATGCCTGTTTCAAGATGAGGAAGGGTCATAGTACTCTTAGTGATGTGTTTTATTCCGTTTTATCTGGGGGTGCCAAGGGATTTGAGATATACCTTTCAAGGGGAGGTAATAAGAATTTGCAGTGTGCTGAAGGCAAGACAATTCTAATGTACAGTATAGAATCAGCAAATGAAGAACTCTTTGATTTATGTCTCAGCAAACAAGTGGACTATAATTTAGTGGATGCAAAAGAAAATACCAGTTTACATGTGGCAGCTGTTTCAACAAATCTATATTTCTTAAAAAGGCTTCTTAAATATTGCCCGAACATTGACTTGGATAGTCAAAATTATACAGGAAATACACCTCTCATGCAAGCTGTTCTGGAAGGACAAGCCCAAGCTGTGTTCTTAATACTCAACAGTGAATGTGATCCTAATATTCAAAATAAAGATGGTAATACAGCATTACATTTGACAATTATGAATAATCCAGAAAGACAATTACTTTCTGACCCTAAAATACCCCTTTTGAAGACATTTTTAAAACATAATGCAGATTGGACGATAACAAATGCAAGGTATGCCAGTGGGAGTACATCTTTAATGTGTGCTGTAAACAATAAAGATGTAACATTGGTCGATGAGATTTTAAGCTTGTGTCCTGTTCAATATTTCACACAAGACCTGTATCAGCTTTTTAACAAAAATAATCAGTGCTATAAAGAAACATTACTGTTGAAAGGTGTTAATCCTTGTGGTGTTCTGGATTCTTTTTTAGCTTCTTTGTCAATAAATGACATTCAGTGTATTGTTCAAAATTATGCCCTTGCCACATCAGTTGTTAGAAATAACCCTTTATTAGAGTGTTGTTTTGGAAACAGAACTAAATATTTTAGTTCATATCTGGTCTCAATATTGCACAAATGTGGCTTACAATTGACAAAGGCATCATCATTTGTAAAATTATCAGAGGCATTGTTAGCTGAACTTCACTCTCTTTTAGACAATTTTCCAAACAAGCCTGTGCCTCTCAAGGCCCAGACAAGGAGTTTTATAAGAAGACATCTTCGCTTTAGTATCTCTGAAAAGATTTTGCTTCTACCTCTGCCAAGATCTATTAAGAAGTATCTTTTATTTTTTGATGTTTTAGATCCCAAATATAGTTATAATGTCAACAAACACTTCAGATATAAGATGATATTAAAATGATTTTTTTATGTTTGTTTTTTATGTCCATAGGTCTTATTTTAACCCCATATTATGCCATGTAAAATTTGACATTGACCGAGATTTCCTCAATAATACATGCATAGCAAGTTCATTCAAAGACAAAGACTGTGGCCTCTATCTTAGTAAATTTTGCATGTTTACTTATTAAAAGACAATAACGAAAAAAAAAAGCTTGCCAGGCAAGGTAATATATGCCCACTGGCAGCTATCAGAAATGATAAAACAGTCTTTAGTGACTAAAGTACAAATTTTCTCATATTAAAGAAATTTTATTTGTTTCAATTCAATGATATATATATATATTTACTTCCAGTTATTTATGCCGAGTAACTCCACAAATTTTTTTAAAATCAATAACCCAAATTTATCAAAGTATTAAATCACACAGCTCTAATATCAAGGGCGAAAAATTGTTAAAAGTGAAATTGTGGAATATTCAAACTTGACCACGAGATATAATATAAATGAAAAGACGTAAAACTCCATTCATTTCATTACATTCATCATAAAAATCACTTGAAATCTGTAGTCTCTATTGTGTTTATGAACAAATTTTGAAGCATTTTATCCAAGTCAAGGACATTTACTCAAAAAAACATCAAATTCAAAGTTGACCAAGATCTCATTAATATACATCATCACATCAAGCTTCATGAAAATCAGTTGAAAACCATACTCTCTATTGTGTTCACAAACAATTTGAAACGTGTTTTTCCTAAATCAAGGACAATTACTCAAAGATAGCTTGCAAGGCAAAGCAACATACGCCCACTGGCAGCTGTCAGAACGATAAAACAGTCTTTAGAGACTAAAGTACAGTGGTGTAACCTATTTTCGTGCATATAAGGATTCAACATCGAATTTCGTCAAAGTTAAAAAAACGGAATTTTTTTTTTATATCTTAGATGTTTCCTCAGATATTCTATAACATATTTGAAATTGGTTTGTTTCGATTTTCTTTATGAATCCACCACTTTGACCCATATTTCATGAGTAGCCAACTCGACAATGGCGGCAAAATGCGTCACCCATTCGTGTACAATGTTTGATCTATAAATAAGTCGAGAAAAACACTTTGTTTGGATACCCGGTGGTATAATTAACTTCTCTTAGTATTTATCTTTAATATGTAATGTTTATTTCAGTAAATAAGGTCTCCAGCCATAGTACAAATTTCACAATATAAAACAATAACTTTAAATATGTAGAAATATGTTATATACAAATCCAACAAAACGTTATGTACAATAATTATAATAATAAATATTCAAAACTAAGGATAACTCTTTCTGACTATATAGGATTTATACAAAAACGATGCTAAATTATCCATAAAAGTTTGGTCAGACATAACATATTTAAAGACATTTACCCTAGATTTTCCCCTGCTTAAATAGACTTTGACATCAGGAAGTAATTCATTTCTTATATTATCATACAATTTACATTCTATTAATGAGTGGATTTCGTCTTCAATCACTATAACTTGGTGATTTTTACAATATACACATATTCTGTTATTCTTATCTTTATTTTGCCACCTACCAGTTTCAATTGCAAGGTCATGGTTTGAATTTAGTAAGCGATATTCTATGACTTTTATTTCTGACTACCTTAAGATATAACTCTAATTCTAGATTAGTCTTAATTAACCTATAATTTTCTAACTTTGGGCTATCATGTATGATATCTAACCATTCCTGTCTACAACAATCTTGTAATATTTGTTTAAACGAATATAGGAAACCTTTAATATTAGTAACACCTTGTTGGTCCCATACATAGCCATACACATATACATTCAATAAATTGCTGACATGCTGAAGCCCATGTTGTCCTTACAGCGTTATGAAGCTGTAACAGCATATCATAGCATGCCTTTGGGTATCTTGAATCAGGTAAATATATTATTTTAACCAATATTGGATGACATTACAGAAAAAATAAATGTGTAAAGGGAATCGGCCAAGTTCGCCATAAACAGCATGGTTACTAGTGGATGAGCTTACGTGTAGTATTGCCTTGAGAAATCTGAGTTGACATTTTTCTATTGCATCCTTACGTTCGTATCCCCACACTGCTGCCCCATAACATAATATAGGCACTTTCATCTTTGATACTAACGTTATACCTATTTGCAAAAGAAATAACCATTCCTGAACCTTTCCTTGCCTGTTGTGATAATGAATCGACAGCCAGGGTCCAACATAATGTTGGTGCGAAAAATACTCCTAAATATTAATAATGAATTACAGTTTCAATCTCCTTACCATCTAAATACCAATGCTCATTTGCCTTAAGTATACCACCACGTCTAAATACAACAACCTTAGTTTTCTTGAGATTAATTTTCATTCCTTACGTCTTGCAGAAACTATTTATGCAATTTATTTGAGCCTGTAACCTCCCTAGCTAGTAAACACTGAAGAAGGCACAATTATTGATAAATTTAGATAAATTTAGATAAAACTTCATAATAATCAAGTAGGAACCTCATTAAAGTGTTGAAAAATATCTTAGACTCAACCGACTCACTCTTTTGAGCTAACCGAATTGTTTGTTTCCAGATGTCAGAAAAAAATACAGATATTGATACTGTTTGATTGTAGTATGTAGTAAAGGTTAGTAATGATACAGATGTTGATTCTGTTTGACTGTAGTATGTAGTAGAGGTCAGTAATAATACATAATTATATTGATAATGCCTGTCTGCAGTATGTTCTCTAGGTCAGTAATAATACAGATAGTGATAGTGTCTGACTGTAGTACGTAGTATAGGTCAGTAATAATACAAATATTGATAGTATCTTACTGTAGTAAGTAGTCTAGGTCAGTAATGATACAGTAATGATATTGGTAGTGTCTGACTGTAGCATGTAGTCTAGGCCAGTAATGATACAGCTATTGATAGTGTTGACTGTAGCATGTAGTCTGACCTCCACTACATACTACAATCAATCACTATCAATATCTGTATCATTTCCGACCTCTACTACATACTACAGTCAGACACTACCAATATCATTACTGACCTCTACTCAAACTACAGTCAAACATTGTCAATATCTGTATCATTACATACTACAGTCAAACACCATCAATATCTGTATCATTAGTAAACTCTACTACACACTACAGGCAAACACCATCAATATCTGTATCATTAGTAAACTCTACTACACACTACAGGCAAACACCATCAATATCTGTATCATTACTGACCTCTACTACATACTACAGTCAAACACTATCAATATCTGTACCGTTACTTCCCTCTACTACAAACTACAGTCAAACACTGTCAATATATGTATCATTACTAACCTCGACTACATACTTCATTCAAAAAGTATAAATATCTGTATCATAACTAAACTATACTACAATCAACCACTATCAATATCTGTATTATTACTGATCTCTACTACATACTAAAGTCAAACAGAAACAACATCTGTATTATTACTAACCTTTACTACATACTACAATCAAACAGTATCAATATCTGTATCATTACTGACCTCTACTACTTACTACAATCAAACACTATCAATATCTGTTCCATTACTAAACTATACTATAGTCAAACAGTATCAATATATGTATCATTACTGACCTCGACTACATATTACTACAGTCAAACACTATCAATATCTGCATCATTACTGACCTCTACTACATACTACAGTCAAACACTGTCAATATCTGTATCATTACTGACCTCTACTACAAACGACAATCAAACATTGTCAATATCTGTATCATTACTGCAGACTTCTTCTGTATACTAGTTTCAAACACGGATAATTCACATGTGCGTTTGAGGCCCAAATTTGGACGGTGACCTGTGAACACTATTACTGATTGGCTTAGCTAAAACAATCCCGTTTCTGAGACTAAAGTATTATTGGTCAAAAAGTTGGCGTAACTGTCCCTTTTGAAAATTATTTGTCCTGGTCGCAAAAAAATTGTTCCATGCTGCATGAATCGAGTTGAAAAGTGAGCCATGTTTCCACTTTCTTGAGAACTTTAAGTAGTTTTTACAATTTTCACATAATTCATTTGTTTGTTTCGAAGTTCATTTTAATTCTGGACACAAAGTAAAATAGGATCCTTTAGAGAAACAACATGGTGTAGGTGAAGGCAAGTTTCTGGACGACAAATTGGAAGAGGTTTGAATGAAAGACTAACAAGTCAGTTTTTAGTCACATGATAGCGGACGGGTCCTTTTTAAATTTATAAGTGACCAAGTTCGACAATTAAACACATATTTAAACATTTTGTCCAAATTTTGTGGATCATGGGTTATTGTGTCATAAAATATTGTGGAGCGAACGGACCCAGGGCGAACGATCTAGGGGCAAACATGATAAAGACCGAAAATGTATAGGGGCGAACGCGTTTAACAGTACCTAGCTAAATATAAAATTCTAACTTCATGGCCTAGGCCTGCGCTTTTATGGGATTTTTATTCTCATATCACCCTAATATCCATAGGACACAACATTACAATTTTTGTGAAAATATACATTAGGTCTACTTACTCAGTGGCGTAACCAGGATTTCATTGACGGGAGTGAGGGGCACATTTACCCTCTTTTTGGCTTTTCGAGGGAACTACCCTCTAAATACACCACTGTAGTAACTTGTAAAAACGCAGTAATATTAGGAGAAACATTGCATAAAATGCAGGAATTTATTTTCAAAACTTATTCTCACACAAAATAACCTTCCGATCGTTTGAGGAAGTTTATTCCTCAATTGATTTTGAATAGATATACTTGTAATAAGCTTGCTTTCCAATTCATTCACAAGGTTAAAAGTAAATTTTGACTAATTTGTAATTAAAATCTATTGTCGAAAGAACAAATGAATGTACACCAAATTTCATACAACGCGGAATTTTTTAGATAGGTTTGAATTGAGAAGTATTCATCCTTGAACCATGAACTCTTCACAATCGGCCTTGACATTTATTTGTAAACAAACACGACTTTTATTTTCAAAAAGCGAATTTTTGATGAAAATGATGATTATTTGATTGCAAAATCGTTATTTTAAATATTTAGGTAGTTTTAAGCAATTTTTTCCGAAAAGAATATCAAATCATGACTAATTTTACCACGCCGTGGTAAATAGCTGTAAGTGTACTTATGGCTATTTACCACGCTTTCCACGCCAGTGGTAAATAGCCACTGCCCAAAAATACCTTGACACTGGTATGCATTTAAAGATTGTGAATAGCAATGGACTAAGGATACATCCTTGTTTCGTTCCTATCGTGCATGCAAAATAATCGGAGATTGTGACCTATTTGTCTGTATACAAGATTGTAGCTGGCTATATTCTAGTTTCGTTCCTATCGTGCCTGCAAAATATTCGGAGACTTGTGACCTATTTGTCTGTTTACAAGATTGTAGGTGGTTATACATAGATTTTATGACATTAAAAACATTTCCAGCTATGCCATTTTTTAGCAAAACATATTGCAAAAAGGTGGTGCTGTATGCCATCAAAAGCTGTATTAAAATCGACAAATATACAATAGAGGCGAACTTTCGATTTAGTCAGATACTTTTGTATTAACGATTGTAATGTGAAAACTTGATCAATAGTGCTGTATCCTTTTCTATAGCTACCCTGTGCCTCTTTGTATTTATTGTTTATATTACACCATTTTGTTATCTTTAATATAATCAATTCATTATAACTAGTGACAATTCCTTCAAAGAACCGTGATTTAAAAAAAATAGTGACCGACAAAATAAGATACGTAGCGTGAGTTATTGCTAAAAGTCATTGAAACAACATAAGAATATGGCCCGCTTTGTGTTCCATAGAATTTTTCTGCTGACACGGAATCCGCTTGTTGACGTGACTTCATTCGTTGGACTACATTCTAGCAGACGACACTTGGAATTCCGATTACAGCTAGGTATTGTAAGGAAATTCGGCCAAAAAAAAATTGTGACGTTTGGTAATAACTGAAATCCGCCATTTGGTATGTGTCAAAGTATACATTAATACGTTTTACCTTGCTTGAAACTACTGGATTCATTCTACTAGCTGACATTGTACAGATAACCCATGTTTACCAAAACAAGCAAATGTGGAGGTTACGCGAAGTCGCACATGTAAATTATTAATACTTTCCGGAAATGCACGAAAAATAGGTTAGCACGAAATTAGGTTACTTGACTGTAAGAATTTTCTCATATCAAAGAAATTTTATTAGTTTGAGCCAGTCATTTATGCTAAGTAATTCCACCACATTTTTTAAAATCAATATCAATTACCCAAATACAACATACAATTAAATCACACAGCTCTAATCAAGGGCGAAAACCGGTGGGTTCGTTTTGCCGCATCGTCCCCAACTGCACAAAAACCACTTGTT